ATTACTAATGTAACTGGCAATATTAAACAAGATTGAGTTTGAAAGACACTAGGTGAGTTATGGTACACCTCCGCCATCGAATACTACACAATTATTAAGGAGACAGAGGTACAGAGAAAGTTGTCCATCATCTACCATTACATGAAAAAAGCACAGCGCAGAACAATATGCATGGTAAGACCCCAGAGGCAGCTAAAACACATCACTTGAGCAAGACTACCTGGACTCAAATCTCAGGTCTGCCACTCACTAGCTGTGCAACCTTTGGTTAATTACTTCTCCTTGCCTAACTTTTTTCATCTGCAAATGGATATAAAATAGAATCTAATTCATAAGGTACGTTCACAGGGTTGTGAAGATTTAACAAGTTAATATACCTAGGGGCGCCTGGGTGGCTCAGTTGGTTAAATGCCCAACTCTTGATTTTGGCTTAGGTCATGACCGCAGGGATGTGAGATCGAGCCCTACGTCAGGCTCTGCGCTGGGCATGGAACATGCTTAGAATTCTCTCTCACCCTTTCCCCCGTCCCTCCCCCCTCAAAACAACAACAACAACAACAGGTTAATATATGTAAAGCACTATGCAAGCACAAGTGTTAACTATAATTTCTGGGGAAAAAAAAAAAAGAAAAAACCCAAAATGTATAGTATGTACATGTATATGTGGGGAAGAAAAGCTTTCATTTTTTGCATTTTTTTAAAGTTTATAAATTTTTTTTTTTTAGTAATCTCTATACCCAACATGGGGCTCAAACTCACAGCCCTGTGATAAAGAGTCACATGCTCTTCTGACTGAGCGAGCCAGGCACCCCTTTTCTGCACTGTTTTTAGGTTTGTTTTTTTAATTATTATATATTATGTTAATCACCATACATTACATCCTTAGTTTCTGATGTAGTGTTCCATGATTCATTGTTTGCGTATAACACCCAGTGCTCCAGTTTTTTGGGGTTTTTTTAAGATTTATTTATTTTAGAGACAGAGCACACACATGAGCAAGTGGGGGGGTAGGGGCAGAAGGAGAGGGAGAGAGAATCCCAAGTCGACTTCATGCTGAGCACAGAACCCAATGCAGGGCTTGATCCCACAACCCCAAGATCACAACCTGAGCCAAAATTGAGTTGGACGCTTAACTGACTGTGCCACTCAGGTGCCCCTTAAGTTTTGTGGGGTTTTTTGTTTTGTTTTGTTTTAAGATTTTATTTATTTGAGAGAGAGAGCACGCATACGAGCAGGGGGGAGGGGCAGATAGAGAGGGAGAAACAGACTCCCCTCTGAGCAGGGAGCCCAATGCGGGGCTCATTCCCAGGACCCTGAGATCATGACCTGGGCTGAAGGCAGATGCTTAACCAACTGAGCCACCCAGGCACCTAGTTGTTGTTGTTGTTTTTAAATAAAGAACATTACTTTAGTAATTTAAAAAAATGAGAACATAATAAAAACTTGGCACTAAGACCCCCCCCCCATGCTGAAAGATTTGCTAGTGCAATTACTTAAACACTCAGGACCAGACAAATTCTGTGAATAATTATATATTAAAACTGTGAAAGTTTTCAAGCGCAACAAAAAGGACAGTACTTCTGGACACAGTTCAACAATAACAAGCTACACACCAATAAGCAGAACTACAACGGCTTTAAAATTACGTCCTTTGATTTCCCAGAAGCAATAAATTATACAAAAATATGCACCCAATCTAGAAATGGGTATCAGGAACTTTCACGATTAGATAAATCTCCATTAATTTTATTAGTCTGAAATTAAATACCACAAAATCTAATTTCCTATTCAATAATCTCTAATGAAAACTCACTAAGACATACATAAACCTGGAGTTCAAGATAAACCAAATGATTTTTTAAAAACCTAAAATCCTTAGAACCCTTTGAGAATTTCTGAGAGGAAGATTTCACCACCTCACATGCTTTGAGGAAGCTTTGGTCCCTTGGATAAACGTAGCTTCCTCCATAAATACAGTGAGTGTATAAAACAACCAAAGAGAAGAGCAGAAAGAACTTCAAGCTTCAGCTGCATTTTTTGCTGAACTGTAATACTGGTAAAACCTGTTTCAAGATCCAAGAGTCCACCCTAAAAATTAGGGAAGGTATATAAACAGCAGGCTGTCATGTTCATTTTATCATATTTACCAGAATGGTATCTCATAAAATTATAAATATTATCAAACTTCAAGAAGGATTATTATCATTGAAGGAAACTCCTTTATTTATAAATAAATAGCAAATAAATCTAATTAGTTTAAACAGCTTTTCAAAAAGAAATCAATCATTAAGATGCCTCCATAGAATTATGAAATTCCTAATTTTAACTAGTTTACATAATGCCTACAAAAAAAGAAAGAACTCAAAAATGCTAGTTATTGTTATCATTAATGATGGAACAGAAACTTACTCATAAGGAGGCTTAACAGGTCACTTTTCACAGAATCCAAGTTGGCCCATCACAACCTTGAATAGTTAGATATTAAAAAACACTTGGTTTTAGAGGACTCAAAGACTCCTTGGGTTCTAAAGGAGGTACTAAAGATGAAATAATTCTGCAAAAAGAATTCACCTAGTCTTTCCTAAGCTTTTCAATACAGAAATCTGTATTTGTAAACTTTTTGCAATTCTGCCTTGTGACTTTTAGACCTAATGTATTTTTGTCAGGTAGTCATGATTTACAAATAATGGAAATAAAATCAATAGATGGGGTCAGAGTTTTGCATTAGAAAATGAAAGGAGACAGTTTAGAGTGGGTTAAAAATAGATGCGTTTAGGGGGGCCTGGGTGGCTCAGTTGGTCAAGTGTCTGCCTTCAGCTCAAGTCATGATCCCAGGGGCCTGGGATCAAGCCCTGCACTGGGCTCTCTGCTCAGTGGGGAGTCTGCTTCTCCCTTTCTCTCTCCTTCTGCCTCTCCCCCTGCTCACGCCCATTCTCCCTCTCTCTCCCAAATAAATAAAATCTTAAAAAACAAAAGATGAGTTTAGCCTAAGTCCTAAAAACTTTAAAAATACATGTATTTGGATAAAATTAAGACTGCTTAGGAAGATAATTTGACTGATTCTGTAAAAAGAAAAATAGGCTAATATCCCTTGATTAATTCTTTTGTCCTTTAAATTTTCCAATTTTAATCCTTTCAAAGATTCACATAAAATAAACTGGAAACATAAATTAGTAAGTAAAAAAATAAGGAAGAACTGAACATGTTTGATGACATGCTTCCCACTAGTGTCTAGCGTGGGTGTACTGGCATTATAAGGGAGCAAGACCAAGCAAGCATCTTTTCGGACAGAAACATTAATGAGCAGACATCTTGCCTGCTTTTACAGTTACAACAGTAGACTTAAAGCCTTGTATTTTAAAAACAGCATATAAAAAAGGTGTATACAGAGATAATTTTGGCTCGATATATATATACACACACACACACACACACACATATATACACAATTACACTGTTAGCATTAAGCTATTTTTCTTTTAAACATTTGCTTAACTATTCGTTTATATATATTAAATACAACAACCTGAAGTATCAACAAATATTCACCACTTCTGACTTTTGCATTGCAGAGTTCAAAACTGGGTTTCGGGGGCACCTGGCTGGCTCTGTTGGAAGACCATGCAATTCCTGATCTCAAGGTCATAAGTTTGAGCCCCACACTGGGTGTACAGATATAAATAAACTTAAACACACACACACACACAAAAAAAACCTGGGTTTCAGCTTAGAAACAATGAAAAACTGCCCTACTGAAAATGTTTTTACAAAATCATAATACGTATTGAAACATATTCCAAAGCATGAGAAATATATAGGTAAGTATAAAGAATTTTTTTTTAAAGATTTTATTTATTTGACAGAGAGAGAGACAGCGAGAAAGGGAACATTAAGCAGGGGGAGTGGGAGAGGGAGAAGCAGGCTTCCCGCGGAGCAGGGAGCCTGATGCAGAGCTCGATCCCAGGACCCTGGGATCATGACCTGAGCCGAAGGCAGACGCTTAACGACTGAGCCACCCAGGTGCTCAAGAAATTTTTTTTTTTTTTAAAGATTTTATTTATTTATTTGACAGAGACAGAGACAGCAAGAGAGGGAACACAAGCAGGGGGGAGTGGGAGAGAGAGAAGCAGGCTCCCCACTGAGCAGGGAGCCCGATGCAGGGCTTAATCCCAGGACCCTGGGATCATGACCTGAGCTGAAGGCAGACACTTAACCGACTGAGCCACCCAGGCGCCCCTAAAGAAAGAAATTTTAATTACCTATAATTTAAAAACAAGAGGGACGCCTGGCTGGCTCAGTCTGTAGACCACACAACTCTGGATCTTAGGGCTGTGAGTTCGAGCCCCACACTGGGTATGAAGCCTACTTAAAATTTTAAAAGAAATAACAAAAACAAAAAACAAAAATAAAAACAAGAAATCAAATAGCTTGGTGCCCAAAGCCTCTTCTAAAATGTGTACACGAGGGCGCCTGGGTGGCTCAGTTGGTTAAGCAACTGCCTTTGGCTCAGGTCATGATCCTGGAGTCCCAGGATCGAGTCCCGCACTGGGCTCCCTGCTCAGCGGGGAGTCTGCTTTACCCTCTGACTCTCCCCCCTCTCATGCTCTCTCTCTTCCATTCTCTCTCTCTCAAATAAATAAAATCTTTAAATAAATAAATACAATGTGTACATGATACAGAAATTATTGATCCTAGTTCCTTTAAAAATGAAAATACCTTGATTAGGATTATTTAAGGAGCAAAAGCCACAAATAATTCTATGCAAACACAAGTTTGGGTGGTTCAGATATAAAAAAATACATAATTGAAATACTGCATGACTATGAAAAGATTAACTCCAGAGAAGGAATTATATGTAGCAAAAAAAAGAAGTTGAAGAGGAAAAAAAATTAACCATTTGAGAAATTTTTTTCAAGTACTAGTCTTTCCACAGCAAGTAACAGAGATTCCACTTATATCAGCCTTTTACAAAAAATTAAATTAAAAAATAAATACTTTACCTTGCAGAATCCTAATGTGTAACCAACTCTGTCCAATAAAATCCTAAAAAGAAAATTTAAAAAAAAATTTTTTAAATAAACGGAAATGTCTTATTATTAGGAATATATCCACTCACCCTCTTCAATTTTCTACAATAATTAGGGGTAATTTTTCCAAATGCCATTATGAGGCAGCAACACCTTGTAAGGTGGGAAGCACTCTGTGCCATCACTGGAAAGCAGCTCACAAACTCACAGTGGAGCCAACTGGGTGAAGTGAGAAGTGACAGCACTGTGACAGTGGCCAAGAAGGCACCAGAAGACTAAGGCTTGTTTTAAAGTCAGGGATGTGGTACCAAGGTGGAAAAGAGTTAAAGATTGAGAGCTGAAGTACCAAAAGATAACTAGCAATTACTAAACGAAAGCCACATTCCTGATGCTTTTCATCAATCCCACCACCCCCGCTTTACAGATGAGGAATCAGGTTTAGAAAAGTCAAATAACTTACTGCCTAACCACTCAGCTATCATGCAGCAGAGAATTCAAAACTAGATTTGTCTGACTTCATAGCCCACACTCTTCATTTCCCCATGCTGCCTCTCTGGCTCTTCTTCAGAATATTGACTTCAGGTTCCCTGTGAGCAATTTCACTGTAGTGAGCACTAGGAAGGGAGTGATACACCTGCAGGCAAATGATCACATACTATCATCTGGGTAGCCTCAATTTTTCAGTATTTCTTCATCTCAAGCTACCTTTACAATCTTTCCTACCATTTTTCCATTTCACAGACCTAACACACTAGCCAGGAAAAAAAAAAAAAAAAAGTAAAAAGACTTGGATATTCTATCTAATTTACAAATTCTTCTTCATGCTTCAGCTTATTCCTTCACCTGGAGCCCTTCTCCAATAGCCCTATAGCCAATTACCTCTGTGCTTTTCAATCCAGTTCAAATGTCATCGCCTTCATACAGCATTCCCTGATCTTCCACTCTCCCATTCAGTGGTAGTATCTCCAATCTAAATCTTCTTTACCCTTTATACTGGTACCTCTATAAACAACTCATGAGTCTGATAAAGTTTTAAAATAATCACCTCAGGGGCACGTGGGTGGCACAGTCGGTTAAGCTTCAGACTCTTGGTTTTGGCGCAGGTCATGGTCTCAGGGTTGTGAGATCAAGCCCCATGAATGTGTGGTGGTTTTGGTTTGAGCCTGCTGGGTTGGAATCCTACCTTCCACAGACTGTGGGACTTTGGCAAGTTACTTAACCTCTATGTGCTTCAGTTTCTTCTTTAAATAGGACCTACTACGTAGGGTAGTTGTGAGGATTTTATAAGTCAGTGAAAGTAAGGCATCTAGCATGGTGCCAGGCCCTGCAGGAGCAGATGCCTATTAGCCAGATACAGAATATGTGTCGCTTCAGCTACTGAAATGTAACAGAACAAGTTACTTTTTTTTTTTTAATTTTATTTATTTATTTTAGAAAGAGAGAGGGAGGGCGCCTGGTGGCTCAGTCATTAAGCGTCTGCCTTCAGCTCAGGTCATGATCCCAGGGTCCTGGGATCGAGCCCCATATCGGGCTCCCTGCTCCCCAGGAAGCCCGCTTCTCCCTCTCCCAGCTCCCCCTGCTTGTGTTCCCTCTTTCGCTGTGTCTCTCTCTGTCAAATAAATAAAATCTTAAAAAAAAAAAAAAAAAAGAAGAAGAAGAAGGAGAGAGGGAGTGGGGAGAGGCAGAGGGGGAGGGAGAGGGAGAAAGAATCTGAAGCAGACTCCGCACTGAGTACTGAGCCCAACACTGTGAGGTCACGACCTGAGCTGAAACCCAAGAGTTCAATGCATAACCAACTGAGCCACTCAGGTGCCCCAGAACAAGTTACTTTATGGATTGAATGCCCTGTGCACAGTGGTACACAAATATTTATTAGTGCTCTGCTAAACAATTTCACATTAGACTCTGAAACTTTGATATTTTGATATAAAAATATTTGATGTGGGGCGCCTGGGTGGCTCAGTTGGTTAAGCGACTGCCTTCGGCTCAGGTCATGATCCCAGAGTCCTGGGATCGAGTCCCGCATCGGGCTCCCTGCTCAGCGGGGAGTCTGCTTCTCCCTCTGACCCTCTTCCCTCTCGTGCTCTCTCTCAAATAAATAAATAAATAAAATCTTTAAAAAAAAATTTGATGTGTTTGATATTTTGATATGGAAGACAGGTTGAAGAGTGTGAACTGAGAAATGAATAAATACATAAGTATAAAATTCTGGGTATAGCCCCAACACATATTGCATGTATTACTACTCTGTGTGCAGGTTTAGAAGTCTAGTGTCTTAAACCAGTGCTGGTGTTTTTTAAAGATTTATTTATTTTAGAGGGAGCGAGCACACATGTGGGGGGGGTGGGGAGCAGAGGGAGAGGGAGAGAGAAACTCAAGCAGACTCCATGCCGAGCATGAGCCCATCACTCAGCTGGATCTCCTAATCCTGGTATCATGACCTGAGCCAAAACAAAGAGTCAGACACTTAACCAACTGCGCCATCCAGGTGCCCCTTAAACCAGTGCTGTTTAAAACAAACATAACGTGGGGCACCTAGGTGGCTCAGTCGTTAAGTGTCTGCCTTCGGCTCAGGTCGTGATCCCAGGGTCCTGGGATCGAGCCCCGTATCAGGCTCCCTGCTCAGTGGGGGGTCTGCTTCTCCTTCTCCCTCTGCCTCCTCCCCACTGCTTACATTCTGTCTCTGTCTCTAATAAATAAATCTTTTAAAAAGGGGAAAAAAGATTTTTTTACATTAAAAAAAAATAAAAGAAGGGGGTGCCTGGGTGGCTTGGTTGGTTGAGCGTTTAACTCTTGATTTTGGCTTAGGTATTGATCTCAGGGTTGTGGGATCAAGCCCCATGTTGGGCTCCATGCTTAGCAGGAAGTCTGCTTGAGATTCTCTCCCTCTGCCCTTCCTCCTGCTCACACAAGTGCATGCTCTCTCTCTCTAAAATAAATAAATAAATCTTTTTTTTTCTTAGATTTTATTTATTTATTTGACAGAGAGAGACACAGCGAGAGAGGGAACACAAGCAGGGGGAGCGGGAGAGGGAGAAGCAGGCCTCTCGCGGAGCAGGGAGCCCAATGGAGGGCTCGAGCCCAGGACCCTGGGATCATGACCTGAGCCAAAGGCAGACACTTAATGACCGAGCCACCCAGGCGCCCCTAAAATAAATAAATAAATCTTTAAAAAAATAAAATAAAATAAAATAATCACTTTACTGATCCCTTATTAATTACAAAGGAAAAAGGGTGCCTTTACAATATAAATCCAGTAGATACTACTTTATTCAAATGATCAAATTTATATCAATAATGAAACTGACATCTGGTGCCTCTGATGGGATACACTGAGACCTAAAATCAACTACACAGCATTCCAACCAAAAATGTTTAACCTGAGTCTGATCATGCAGAAACATTCAGACAAATCCAAATTGAGGGGCATCCTACAAAACAACTGGTCTGGATACTTACGGTCATGAGAGACACCCTCTGCCCCGCCCCCTCCAAAAGGCTGAAAAACCCATCCAGATTCAGGCAGGCAACTAAATGCAATGCAAGCTCCTTAAATGAATCTTGGGTCAAACACAAAACCAAATATCTAAGGACAGTATTGGGACAACTGGGGAAATTTGAATAGGTACTCTACGTTAAAAAATAATATTATATCCATGTTAAATTTCTTGAGGGTGACAACAACTGAATTGCAAATATGTAGAAGAAAGTGTTTGTTCTTGGGAAATACATACCCGTATTTAGAGAGTAAAGTGTCCTGATGGTATCTATACCTAACTCCCATATGGTTCAGCAAAAAATGGGTCTACTAGTGCATAAAGCAAGCAAAGCAAAATGTTAACAACTATGGAATCTAGATGAGAAGTACAAAGGTATTATTATACTACTGTTGCAACTCTTCTGTAGGCTTACAATTTCTCAAAGAGTTGGGAAACAATACTTAAAAGTTATGGAGGGGGGTAGGGTGCCTGGCTGGCTCAGTCACAGGAGCATGCAACTCCTGATCTCGGGGTCGAGAGTTCAAGCCCCACGTGGGTGTAGAAATTACTTAAAAAAAAAGTTATGGATTCAAAACAACAAAATCAACAGAAAATAGGGAAAGGTGCAAAGATGACTTAGCATTTGTATTCTGCCTTCCAGAATTAACTGTTAACATCATCATAGTTGCTTTTTGTCTTTAAAGAAAACTTATGGTATCATCCCCTTTGCACCACCTCCACCCATTCTTATTGCCCTCCAGAAGTTGTGAAATTATGAGGTAGGGTATGCCCATTTTCAACTTTACTAAATAACTGCAAATGTTGTCCCTCAAGGCAGCTGTACCAATTTAAACTCCTACATCGTTTAGAATTTGTCCTACATAGAAACTGTCCCACAGCAGTTTCTAAATTACCATTTTCAGAGACATCTTCACTAACTTTGATACTGTCAGACATTAAAATTTTTTTATCAATCTGATGTGAAAAATTCAGTGTCATTTATACCAACCTAGGATCACAAAGTAAAAGAATCTTAGCAAAATAAGAACTTCATCTACAAACCCTTCCTTTTATCACAACATTATAGAACACTCAGGATAATCAAACCTACATGGCAGCAAGTACTAAGAATAATTAGTCCCCACATGAAACCAAATGGCCATGAAAGCACTGCATATGTTTGGGAAATAACCTGTCTTTTAAAAAATGTAAGATGAAAAGGTTCAAATTCAACCCAGCAAACATAATACTATTTGTTAAGATTTTAAAAATAGATATTTTATTCCTAGAAATAAGTAACCTAGCTCTTATAAATTAACTCATTTACTCATTCATCAAGTATTTACTGAGTACCTGTTATGTGCCAGCCACTATTCTAGCACTGCGGCAAAGACAAAATCCCTATTCTCACAGAGCTAACATTCTAATGGAAAGACAAAAATTAAAAAAACTAATATACAAATAATATGATATCAGACAGATACACGCTATTAAAAAAATAAAAGGGCAGGGACAAAGAATGACAAAGGAAGCAGCGTAAGGACAAAGTACCAGGCAATATCTCTCCAAGGCAGTGATTTTTGTCATATGATGTGTTCAATTCAACATAAACTGTTTCACCACCAATATCTTTTCATAAAATACTCTTCTTCACTTTTCCATACCCCCTTATATTTTTTCCAGAAAAACAAAAGTTTGCGGTAGTGGTTTTTCCACTATTGCTATTATTTTAGAGGGAAAAAAAAATCTCACGCAGGGTGTTGACAGGTGCTTTACAAACAGTTGGAAATTTCAAGTCCCACATACTCTAAAGAAATGTTAATTGTGGGGCGCCTGGGTGGCTCAGTCATTAAGCGGCTGCCTTCCGCTCAGGTCATGGTCCCAGGGTGCTGGGATCAAGCCCCGCATCGGGCTCCCTGCTCAGCAGGAAGCCTGCTTCTCCCTCTCCCATTCCCCCTGCTTGTATTCCCTCTTTTACTGTCTCTCTCTCTGTCAAATAAATAAATAAATCTTAAAAAAAAAATGTTAACTGTGATCTATCAGTGAGAAGTCTGATGCCAAAATAAAACTGAACTGTAAGAATTTAAACTGGAATTTTGAGAAAATGATTTACTAATTCTCCCAACTCTATCACCTGCACGTTTACTTTCTATCATACAGGAAAAGAATAATAGCAGTAGGAAAATATATCTGAAGAGAGATCCTGCAGTTTTTACTTAAGGACAAAAATATTAGAATTTTGGGGCACCTGGGTGGCTCAGTTGGTTAAGCGTCTGCCTTGGGCTCAGATCATGATCCCAAGGTCTTGGAATCGAGCCCCACATGGAACCCCACTTCCGCCCGACTCCCTGCTCAGCAGGAAGTCTGCTTCTCCCTCTGTCCCTTCCCCCCCAACTCATTCTCTCTCTCTCAGATGAATAAATAATATCTTAAAAAAAAAAAAAGAATATTCCCCTCTTTAAAAGCCACACTACCTACATGATTTAAAGAAAACCAGCATGCACTAAAATTTCCTTTCACAGGCTTACACAAGAGCTTAGAAGGCTTCAGCCACTTAGAACTAGGCGGTGCCTTACTACAAAAATCTAAGGGCCAAATATTCACTTCCCTTTTTTCCTCAGATTATTCTGCTGATTCCCCATGAGGTATCTGCAGTCTATCTTTCAAAATTATTACTCTGACCCAGCCAAATCTTCTTTTACTTCTCTGTGTACAAAGTTCCCTTTCATCTATACTATAACCCTATCTGCCTTGTCTTTTCTTAAAAAAATAAATAAAAAGATTCAAATATCCTTCCAGGCTGACTTATGGATCCCCAAACACTTCTACCTCAGGAGTTCTTAATCTTTTTGCACCACGGATCTTTTTGGTAGTCTGGTGAAGCCTATGGACTCTCTCCGATAGATTTTTATTTTTATTTTCTCGATTGATTGTAATCTCGACACCCAACGTGGGCCTGGAGCTCACAACACTGAGATCAAGAGTCACACAAACTACCAACTGAGCCAACCAGGCGCCCCTCAGATTGCTTTTAGATACATAATTAAACATATGAAATCATGAAAGAAACCAATTATATGGAATTATTATTTAAATATAGTGATTTGGTAATATATGTGCAGTTTTATCATCACATTAAATAACAAGATCTAATAATGCCATAAATTCAAAAAAATTATAAGCATAAGTGATATTCTGAGATATCTGAAAAAACTGTAAACATGATACAAAAATATTTGTAATTTTTATTGGTGACAAAGTCACAGGCATTGCTAATTCCACTGTGGTTTGTTGCCTACATTCATAATTGAAGGAACTAATAAATTAGTTACCAGACGATAAAAATAGATGTGATTTTATCCCCATTCTAGTTCAAAAATCCCCTATATTCTGTCCACCAACTGGTGAATTCCCAGGTTAAAATACTTTCTAGTTCAAAGCTGTGCTCAAACTGACTTCTGTCACAAATTTTAAAATAAAAACAATGACTCCTCCTTTGGCCTAGCTCTCATCTGAACATATCACCACGCCTGTTTTTCCACAGACTTATACACAGAACACTGTTTATTTCTATGGTTTGCCTAGCCCGCACCCATTTAAAATTTGACAGTCAATAAAAGGTGAAGTTGAAGGAAAGGAGATGGAAGCAACCAACAGTCCCTCACTTCCAAGACATCCAATACAAGTGGAAAGATGCCAAGTATACTGTGTATGTGTTTGTGTTTTTCGAAGGTGGGCTGCCCCCAGACCATGAGTCCAGCTTGTCAAGAGTCCCCGAAGCATGACATCTTCACCAGCGACACTCAGAAGATATTCCACCTCCTTTTCGCCTCCTATGCTCAGTTCTCTACCTGCCAGGTAGCTCGCCTGGGGCTCCCACCCGAAGCCGCCCCGCCGTTCTCCGGTCCCTTCCCATCCCATCCCCCACGCGTCCCTCCCTCCCGTCTGCCCCCGGCCGCCCTGGCCCCCGGGCGCCGCCACATCTGTCCCCTGGGCCTAGTCGTGTGTCCCCCTACCCCCACTTCTACCGACACGGGAGGGAAGGGCCCAGGGGGTCAGCTGGACTGGGTGGCCCGGCCATTAGGCGCAGGCTGCGGCCCTAGGCCAGACCAGCCCGGCCGCCAGGCAGCGAGCCGCGCACTTCGCGCGAGTTAACCGGAGACGCGCACTCACCACCGGGATCACACGGAGGAAGGCACCCAGGTCTCCGCCGCACCGCCACTCGGCCTCGGAGCCGTCACCCTCGCCGCGAACTGCCACCACCGCCGCCGCCGCCGCCGCCACTACTCGCTAGCTAGCTTTCCTGCGTCCTGCGGCGGCGCTGCCGCCACGCCATGGCGCGTGCGCGGCGCCGCGGGGGCCCCTGGGACTGGTGGTTCGCGCGGGCAGCCAGAGCGGTCCTTCCGCTTTAGCAAGCCCAGTCCGCCGCCGGCTTGAGCGGTCGTGGGCGTCTGCGGTATCGCGAAGCGCCTTCCGGAAAATTGTTCCTCCTCAGACGCGCGACCTCTCTTCCGCGTAGGGTGCTGCCGGGTGTGAAAAACACTCCTGTGCAAGTACGTGTAAAGTGTAAGATTTAGAGCATTAGCATCTTCGGTAACAAGTGTCAGGTGCCCGGGACACATCACTCGACTCACACACGCGCTCGCTCAGACACACCATCCCTCCCTTTCTGTTAAAAGTTTCCCAAGTTGCCTTCAGGGGTATCTGGATTTTCAGTTTTAAACCTGATTTCCCAGTCCTCGTTTTATCTTTTCACTTACTGTAAATTTGACCAGTTTTTTGACTGATTTATCTGATAAAATTTTATTTTACAAAAATAACTCAGGTATATTCAAATGTCAAGTTAACGGAGCTGAATAGTCATAGAAACTTTAGAACTGGAAGACACCTTAGTCATTAGTCCAACTCCCGCCCAGGCAGGAATTCTCTCTTGTACATTCCAGCCAGATGGTCTTACAACTTTTTTTTTTTTTTTTAAGATTTTATTCATTTGAGAGAGAGCGAGCAGGAGCAGGGGGAGAGCCAGAGAGAGAAACCGACTCCCCGCGGAGCCAGGAGCCCGACATGGGGCTCCCTCTCAGGACCCGGAGATCACGACCCCAGCGGAAGGCAGACGCTTAACCGTCTGAGCCACCCAGGTGCCCCCGTCTTCCAACTTCTATTTCCACAGTTGGAATTTGAGGGAGTTCACTATCTTAAGTGAGATAGCCCGCTCCACTGTTGGACAGCTCTAAAGGTTAGAAAGTTGTGCCTTCGGTTTAATCGGTTTCCCTTTACTTCCTTCCAGTGCTAGAAGTTCTGATGCCTGGAGCAATATAAAATGTTTTCCATTTGACAGCCTTTCAAAAAATTGAAAACAACGATTATATCCTCCAACACTGGGAGCCTCCAGGAAAAAAAAAAAGTAACATTCAGTTTTCCAACTATTTCAAATGTGAATCAGCTCCCACACTGCTTTCCATTTAGTCATTCTCCTTGATGTATTACCCTTAAAAATATATTTTTTAATTTCAATGCTAAAAGCTAACTGAACCATTACATTCACTACATTTCTTTTCTAAAATTCACTTTCAAACAGTACAGAAATTCATTCTTAGCCTTAAAAATTGGCCAAAAAATTGTATACAATACAAATAAGTCAAAAAAAATCCCCTTGATCCCCATCCAATTCCACCCAAAGGGAGCCACTCTTGTCAATGACAGGTATCTACCTAGATTGGGGGGACATAAATAGGATCACGTTGTACATACCATTCTGTTCTTTTCATTTAGAAATAAATCCTGAGCTTCATTCCATATCAATACATAAAAATCTACCTCAGTTTTGAAACTTTGCACAGTATATCCTATCACCTACCATAGTTGATTTAGCATCCCCTATCGATTTTGACATTTAGGTTGACTACATTCTGAATAACAAAAAATACACGTGAATGAACGATGTTATTTTTTAACATAGTTTAAAAAAAAATTTTTTAAAGATTTTATTTATTTATTCGACAGAGAAAGAGAGCAAGAGCAGGAACACAAGCAGGGGGAGTGGGAGAGGGAGTAGCAGGCTTCCCGCTGAGCAAGGAGCCTGATGCAATGCGGGGCTGGATCCCAGGACCCTGGGATCATGACCTGAGCTGAAGGCAGACCCTTAACTGACTGAGCCACCCACACCCCAGTTTAAAAAAAAATTTTTTTAAAGCTTTTTTTTTTTTAATTTATTTATTTATTTGAGAGAGAGAGAGTACATGAGAGGGGGGAGGGTCAGAGGGAGAAGCAGGCTCCTTTGCTGAGCAGGGAGCCTGATGTGGGACTCCATCCTGGGACTCCGGGATCATGACCTGAGCCGAAGGCAGTCGCTTAACCAACTGAGCCACCCAGGCGCCCTAAAAAAATTTTTAAGGGGAAAATTTTTTAAAGCTCTGGCAATCTGTAAACAACAACAAAAAAATTCAGAAACACATGGATGGAAGCTGTTCTACACAGGTAGCAGATAGTATTTCTTTATAAGATGCTTTTTGCCCTTTGGAACAGCCCAGTTGCAAGCAAAGGACAAGACTACAGTCATAACCTTACTCCATGTTCTGGGCCCTAGGTTGTCTTACACTGGCTCCCACTGGCAGGCTCAGAAATAGTAGCAGTACTCAGAGATGGATTTACTATGAAGCTGATGGAGCTTATGATTTAGGGCCCCTCACTTGCCTAGGGATTCTTCCAAGGCCCAAGCAATTCAGTCAATATGGTTTTGCAACATTTGCCAAAGAATTTTTAATTATTGGCTCAGTTGAAGGCAACAGACAAAAGCCCAAAACTTGAGAATACTGAAGATGAGGAAAAAGACGCCTATAGAACAGAGTCATAAATTATGCGACTTGCACTTCAGCACAGTGAAATCTACTATAAACCTTATCCTTCTAGGGTGTCTTGGTGGCTTGGTTAAGTGTTCAACTCTTGATCTCAGCTTAGGTCTTGATCTCAGGGTCATGAGTTCAAGCCTTGTGTTGGGCTTCACACTAGGTGTGGAGCCTACTTAAAACAAAACAAGCAAAACAAAAAACCACCCCTTGTCTTTCTATCAGTGTCAGGGATGTCCAGACTGATGAGAGCTGTCATGTTAATGCAAAATCAAATTTTGGCACATTACCTGTATTTGTTTTAACCTATGACTATAACATATGAAATAACTTTAATGTAATTATATCTTTTTTTTAAGATTTTATTCATTCACTTGAGAGAGTGAAAGCAAGGGAGGTCACAGAGGGAGAAGTAGACTCGCCACTAAGTGGAGAGCCCGACGTGGGGCTCAATCCCAGGACCCTGAGATCATGACCTGAGCTGAAGGCAGACCCTTAACTGACTGAGCCACCCAAGCACCCCAATGTAGTTATATCTTAAACATCTTTCACTGACCTTTTTTGTTCTCTTGTATTACTTTTATTTTTTTAAGTATTTTGGAATTTATTGATTTGTATTTAAAATAAACTGTTGACAAAGATTCACCAGAAATAATCTGAACAAGCAGAAAAATACTGAAACACTAAAATAATTCAAGGACACATGGTTTATCCAACAAAACAATACCTCTTAAATGCTGTCATTGATACAAAAACTAACTGCTTCTTACTTTTCTAAACACAGTGGCATAATTAACAATATTCAATCACTTGTCTTTTCCTGAATATACAAAAATTAAAATGCCAAGTAAAAATTAATAAATCTTCTCTTTAAATGTTTCCTACAAATACAATTTCAATATTTTCATTCAACAGTGGTGTGGTTTAAGAGAGTTTTCATTCACAAATGAAACAACAATCCACCCAAAGGGAACTGATAGTCTATAGGCTCATAGTGCAAATAAAGACTTTAGGAATGCAGCAAATGACATTTCTAACAAACATACCAAACAGATAAAATTCTTAGAAGGTACAGGCAAGAAGCCCCTCTAAGCAGCTGGCCACAGAACTAGAATATTTGATCATTTTACTAGTGATTTCAATGGGACTCTAGATGTTTCCAAATTCAACTTGAACTCTCAACTTGGGCTTTGTATTTTGCTTCTCCAGTTTCACTAATGACACAAACATGATTCAAATCCCTGAAATATTCATTATAGTCAAGGGCATATCCTACAACAAACTTGTCTGGAATTTCAAATCCAACAAAATCTGGTCTGTATCCAATACTTTGAGGAGTCCTTTTCACCAGCAAACTTGCAACCTTGACCATCTTTGGATTATACTGCTGGACCAAGGAAAGCAAGGTTTGCATTGTTTTGCCTGTTTCAATTATATCTTCAACAATCAAGACATTCTTTCCAGTTAAAGTTGAGAGATCATCTCCACCAATTACTTTTATATCCCTTGTGGACTGGTCATTACAGCTTTTCAGTCTGATGAAGTCTACAGTCATAAGAATGGATCTATCACTGTTTCTGTTCACTGCTTGAATGTAATCCAGCAGGTCAGCAAAGAATTTATAGCCCCCCTTGAGGGCTACAATGTGATGGCTTCCCATCTCCTTCATCACATCTCGTGCAAGCCGTTCCGTCCTGTACATAATTAATCCATGAGGAATAAACACCTTTTCCAAATCCTGAGCATAATGATTAGGTATACAAAATAAATCTAGGTCATAACCTGGTTCATCATCACTAATCACAATGCTGGGGCTTCGTGTTGCCATAATGGAGCTGGCTGGTGCGTGGACGGAGGGCAGTTCTCTTCTGTATTGCTTTTAGTTTTAAGTTCTTAAAGGCTTTTCAAGCTCAGTAAATTCCTGATAGATAAACAGGGATTTTTTTTTTTAATAACAAGAAAATGTAGACAAAAAAGTAACATACTTACAATTTACTCTTTGAAAAACATAGATATCAACAATTTTAATAGCTACATGTTTCATCATCTTGAAGTAACATAATTTATCATTTCAAAACAGAAAATTGTTCATTCCTGATAAATATTAAATTAATGCAATTTTTTAAAAATTCTAGAATACAGAAATTGAGATTTAAGACTTTGTAAAGCATATTTAAAAATAATGGTATAGTATTATACTGTTAAGTAACTTACTTTTCTTATTTAACAATATATAATGGGTTTGTTCTGCCAACTTGACAAGCTAATTCTAAAATTTATGTGGAAATACAAGTACCAAGAATAGCAAAAGACACTCCTGAAGGTGGAAGGACATGTTCTCCTGGATATCAAACTATAGTAATCAAGACAGAAGTTAATATGATAAATGGTAAAAATCTAAAGACTGTTAACAATAAAGTTAACTTTCTTATGGAAGTGGGATATAGGGTCAGCTGGGGTGAAAAAGTGAGGACTTCTTGGTGCTGACAACATTCTTTTTCTTGATTTGGATATTGAATACCTAGGGTTTTATTTTATGATTATTCATTAAACCGTACACTTGCATTTTATGTACTGTTCTGTATTCATATTACAATTTATAATAATAAAGTTTAAGATATGTAAAACATCCAGCACATAGTAAATATTCGATTAAGTGTAGCTACTATTGACATTTAAAAAAAAAAAGCAGTGGATTTGTGACAATCTCTAAGAAATATAGCTAACTGGATGGAAGCAGAACCATGCATGTAGCATGCTCCATCACTAGTTTTAAAATAGGGATATACACACACTGCATATGAGTATGAATAAAACCTCTCTAGGCTACACAAGAAAGTGGTGACTGTGGTTATCTTTACCAGTGTCAAGGAATAAGGCTGGGGATAGGGTGGCAGGCCTATTTATTTTCATTGTGTATTGTACCCTTTGGATTTTATACCATGTACATATATTTCCTATTTTATTTTTAAGCATTTATTTATTTAAGTAATCTCTACACCTAACGTGGGGCTCAAACTCACGACCCCGAGATCAAGAGTTGCACACTCCTCTGATTGAGCCTGGCAGGCGCCCCTATATTTCCTATTTTATGTACTTCTTTTTTTTTTTTAAGATTTTATTTATTTATTTGAGAGAGAGAGAGAGAGAATGAGAGAGAGCATGAGAGACAAGAGGGTCTGAGGGAGAAGCAGACTCCCTGCTGAGCAGGGAGCCCGATGTGGGACTCGATCCCGGAACTCCGGGATCATGACCTGAGCCGAAGGTAGTCGCTTAAACCAACTGAGCCACCCAGGCGCCCCGCTTTATTTCCTATTTTAAAAATTTAGAGATTTAGGATACATATTATCACTCAAATTCTATAGAGGTAGCTCTATATAATTAGTAGCTTATTTTACTTCAATGGAAAATTTAAAACAGAAGAAAAATTAAAACGTTTTCTGTGTAAAACTAAAATGCTTTTCAATTAATCAAATACAGGGGCGCCTGGGTGGCTCAGTCTGTTAAGTGTCTGCCTTCCACTCAGGTCACGATCCTGGGGTCCTGGGATCAAACCCCACGTTGGGCTCCCTGCCCAGCGGGGAGTCTGCTTCTCCCTCTGCCTTTTCCCCTGCTTGTGCTCTCTCTCAAATAAATAAAAATCTTAAAAAAAACATTAAAATTTTTTTAAAAATCATAAAATACCTTTATCATAACAACAGCCTTGTGAGGAAGCAAAATTATATGTATTTTACAGGCTAGTAAACAGAGCTTCAGAGAGACTGACTTGTCCTAAATCATAGCTAGTTTAGTGACAGAACTAGAACTCTAGTTTTTAATGCTTCCAAACCCCATGGGCTTTTCTATCATACTATCTGACACAGCATGCCCTCCTAAATGCCTTCCACTGGGGAAGGGGGGGAGGAAAGAATAGAAGATGCACTACTTGTAACTTTTCATTTGTCTGTGGGGAAGGTTCCCTATTATAAAATTCACTTTTAAAAAGTCAGGACAGGAGTGCCTGGGTGTCTCAGTAGATTAAGCACCTGGCTTCAGCTCAGGTCATGATCCCAGGGTCCTGGGATCGAGCCCCACGTCAGGCTCTCTGATCAGTGAGGAGCCCGCTTCTCCTTCTATCTCTGCAGCTCCCCCACTTGTACTCACTCTCTCTCTGTCAAATAAATAAAATCTTTTATTTTTTTTAATAAAGAAAATCTTTAAAAAAAAGTCAAGACAAAGAAAACTAATTGCATAGCACATTGCACTTTCAAAACACACACACACACACACACACACACACACGGCTGCATGATTTATACCTAGTATTGTTCCTGGCTCAGGTGTCAGGGAGATACTTTTTACTCTTCAGTTGTTTAATAAAGGTTAAGGCCCAGTCTCTCTTTTCTTTTTTTTTTTTTTAAAAGATTTTATTTATTTATTTGAGAGAGAGAGAATCAGAGACAGAGAGCATGAGAGGGAAGAGGGTCAGAGGGAGAAGCAGATTCCCTGCCGAGCAGGGAGCCCGATGCGGGACTCGATCCCGGGACTCCAGGATCATGACCTGAGCCGAAGGCAGTCGCTTAACCAACTGAGCCACCCAGGCGCCCATTTTTTTTTTAAGATTTTATTTTTTTAAAGTTATCTCTACGCCCAATGTGGGACTCAAACTTACAACCCCAGGATCAAGAGCCACATGCTCTACTGACTGAGCCAGCCAGGTACCCCTACAATCAGAGTTTTCTTGAAGTAAATGCTCTAAGAAAAGGGAGGGTCAGGGGTCTAAGGGCCCAGTCTCTTAATACAAAAGACATCTACGTAGCCAATAGAAGACAGTAATTAGAACATTTAAAAAAATATTTCCAATAATCCGTCAAATTCAACATAATCACCAAACTTTACTTTCCATTGAAAGAAATCTTGAAAATTGACTCTCAAGAGATGGTTTTCTTGAAGAGCTTCTAAAATTTCTTCTCATAGTATATTCACATGATTTATAGCATTCCTATTATCCTACAACTTCCCACACACTTTTCTTATCTCCCACACAGTATCTTGTCTAATCCTGGAAACAAGCCTACTAAAACCAACAGGACAGAAATCCCTGACATTCAATAGATGAAAAAATTGAGGCTCTGGTAGGTTTTTCTCCCAAGATCATGTGCCTTATCTCTTAGCTGTGTATTCTCCCCAACAAAGGATGTGGAAAATTCTTATCAGGGTCTAAACATTCAATTTGTCAATTACACAAGTCTTTTCCTTTTCCTTCCTGCTCTATGCCCGTAATTCCCTTTCAAAAAGGAAGATTTAGGAACTAAATGACATCCAATCCTAATCAGTCCTAACTCTACTTAGCTGAGATCAGATGGGAAATAGAAATCTATTTTCTCACCCAAAGGAGCACAAGTGAAACGAGCTGGTTTAAATTACTGGATAAAAATCTACATTTGTCTATCACTCATTATCAAAATATTTGCAAACTATGTAACTACTCTATACCCTAAACAAGATATACATCTTATAAATCCAAAACTCAGGATGATAATCTAGACTACAGAAATTAAAAGTCAAATTGCCAAGGCTCAAATCCTGGCTCCCTATCTCCTCAGCTGTGTAATCTCCTGGGCAAGTTTCCTCACCTCTCGGGGCTTCAGATTCCTTAGCTCTAAATTAAGGTTTAAAAAAAAAAATGCTTTCATAAGAATTAAAAGAGAAAATGCACATAAAGTGTTTAGCATAGTATCTAGCGCTTAGTTAAATATTGATAATTTGGCATCAATACTATTATTGGCATTTAACATTCAGGAAACTAGATTTATCTATGCACTTTTCTGTTCAATCCATAAAAGATCGCACTTCAGACTATACAATAATATACACCTAATATACTTGGTTTTAAAAAAGATACTACAACCACCAATATACTCATTCCCTTTGGAAGTTAGCCAGATACCACTTATCTAAATCTTAGGAAAAAGAGAGTTGCAAAAATGATTACTCCATCAATCAAGGAAAAGGCTGAAACTGAGAGCTTTGTTTTTAAGGGAAATGGATGTTATATACACAAAGTTTCTTTGAAATGATACGAAGCTCTAAAGTGGCTGGATGGTGATTTCTATCTTAATAATGAACTGATGCAACCTATAGAGGGTCAGTATTACGGCAGTATTACAAGCCCTGTTGTAAGATGGGTGATGCAACTTCTATAGTCAATTCTGAGTCACCAGCATAACCTTTGAGAAGCACTGAAGGAGAAAGGAAAATTGAGTACTGACTCCAAGGCTGAACATCTTAGTAAACTGTGTGTAAGATGTTTCAGTGCTATCTGGACAGGGTATTATGAATACCATGAATCTCAAATATACATTTAGTGGAAAAATACTGGAGTCATCAGTTCCTATGATAATGTCCCATGCATTTTTTGTAAGCATCTCAAAATATTTTGTATCAGACCTTTGGTCTGTCCGTAGCAGGTCCTCCAAAAAGATTTGTTGAATGACTTAAGTAATTAAAAAAAACTAACAGCATTGGCTATGGAGCCAAGCTGACTTGGATTTCAATTCTAACTCCATCACTTACCGGCTCTATGACTTTAAGCTAGTTATTTAATATTTCAGTCCCAATTTTCTCATCTGGAGAGTGGGAAATGCCAAGTATTAAACTGTAAGGACCGAATGACATAGGAAACAGAACAATGCTTGCTACATTGTAAGTCTAAAGTAGATAGTAGTCTCTATTATTTTTTGCTACAGGTTGTTAGACAAAAGGCAGTATCAAGACGTCTTTGTCTATCAGATGGGTTTAAGCACAATCTGACCTTTTCCAGGAAGAATGAAGTTACAAAGGTATCAAGAATAAAGGACGAGGAAGGCTGCAAAT